GAAGACGTTTCCCTTGCCTTTAAAACCAAGTATTGTTGCTTTATTCTCCTCCTTGGGGCTCTGCCTTTCCAATAGGTGGGTTCTATAATAATCTGAAGCACTGAACAATCTCTTATCACTAAACTTATCAGCTGTTCTGTAGATGCAAACATAACATGGGCATTCACGTTTTCTTTTCATGTTTGCTGCTACTTGATTTGTTTGGAGCTTTCAAATGTATGTTTTGGAATTCAGCAGTTTGAGGAGGGGGGTACAGTTAATTTCTGCCTATAGAGTTCAAGGTCAGCTTTAACTTTGGTTTTGACTTTTTATGGAGGGGTGGGCAATTGCTGTACAACAGACACCCATGCTAATTCTCCACCTCTGCCTGTCCATGACTTTGACTGCAAATGCATGGAGGCTCCCCCACGTAAGCACTGCGAGTGAAGTGTTTGTCTGGTAAGCGTTGGTGGCTCAAATTCCCAGACTCGTTATGCTTGAGAATCAACTTTGACTGGTGTTTACAATCATTTTTATCTCTACTTGTTTAAATATGAAGACTGCTTCGTTCCTTAAATAAGGCAAACACAATGCAAGCAGCATGCAAAATGTTGCAGAGTATCAGTTGCTGAAAACTACTTAAAATGTTTAATGGGAAAACTAATTAAAAGAAGGGAGAATTTTATGATGGATCTTTTTATTATAATTATTAGTATTATGTTTAGGCAGTTATTTGAAGTATTAGAAAAAAGGGGAGTTATAAAAATGTCTTGCCTTAACTTGCTTCATTGGAAATTCAGCCTGGGATAAAGACTAGAAGCCTGAGGCATTGACCAATATTTGGAGTGTGCTATATTTGGGTTCCTTGGTGTGTAATGTGATTTTTCCCACTTTCTTTCTGATTGGAACAGTTTAAATTACAGAGGGATCCTCAGGAAAAAGGAGAACTCTTTTTTGCATCAATTCTGTATTACTTTTAAAAAAAATACTAACTGCATCCTTGTTCTAATATTTCCCAAGTTTAATCTTTGATTGAAACTTTTCTTGCGGTAAGGAAATGAGTGGTAGGGCAGTGGGATGGTGATGTAAGCTGGCACAGTGGGGGGAAAAAGGTGCTGGAGAAATGAAGAATGCTCTTTCCTTCCCAGTCAAACTGTGTGTATCGTTGATATAGTGACTGCTGCTATATTGTCTGAACACAGCAGTTCAGGAGCTGATAGCTGAGTGTACTCAGCCTGTAGTATGCTAATATTTGCTCTGAGAGGAATCCATTTATCTTCTCCCCTGAATCTTTTATCTCGCCTCTCTTCTTTTAGTGATACAAATCCGTCTAGCCATTTGATAGGTGTCAGAAAAAGCAAGGAAAGTTACTTTATCAGACGGTGAAAACTAGAATCTTAGGCTGTTGCGTGAAAATGTCACCCCTGTGCAGTCAGAACAGCAAATATTAGCAAGGAAGTCTTGGGATAGATTAAACCAAAAAAGCACCTCTCTACTGCTCAGAAAGTCCACGATACATTTGCAATGGTGAAGTTCTGTTTCTGCCCATCTTGAGGTATGTAACAATGGTGGTGATGGGAATAAAGGGTAGGGAGCAGGTTTTTTTGGTGTTCGCTCTTGGATACTGTGGGAGAGAGATTGGAATAGTGTCTCAGTGTTTACTTCCAGGCCTATTTGTCTGGAAGGCAAAACAACTGGAGAAAAACTGCCTTGAGTAGGAAGTGGTTACATTACTTTGCTTTTTCCACTTTCTTGAACTTTCTTATTACATAGACATAGACAAAATTGCAGAGGAGATAGCAACACGAAAGACTTTGGTTATTTGCTCTTGCAGCAATTAAAAAGCACAACAAACCTACAGTTTCTTGTATTCCTCTGCAGTGGGGTTTCTATTGTGGTTATACTGTACCTTACATATGCCGCCCATCAGTGTACCGGGAAGTGGGGTTTGGGGAAAACTTCCAATTAGAGGCTATGCACTTAGGAGGCAGTACGAGTATAAGCCGAACAGGTAGAAATTGCAGTACAGAGATATCCCATCAATTAAGTCTGAACTGAGCTGAAGACCTCATCTCAAATTCCCAGCTTGTACAAGCAAATAATAATATTAAACATTCATGAAAAGCCTGGGAGAGCTATATATATACAACCACAAAGAAGGCATAGGAAGTTGTAGTTGAAAAAATGGTGTATTACATTTATATTTTGCTTAATGTGTGCAAAATCTTCGGCAAAGCACATGCCTTGCCACTTTTTTCCATCTGTTTCTTCATAGTGTTTTGTCTGTGTAGATTCTTTCCTGGGTTCTGGGGCTAACAGCAGTTTTGTACAGAAGATATTGAAAATGTGCTAAGTAAGGGTATGAAAAGTGTGTATCCTGAGTTGTTTTACTTTCACTTGCCTTCCTTCTAAGACAATGATTAAATTATATTCCAAGGCTGTATATTACTGTCTTTGAAAAAAAATACTGATAACTTGCTCATTCTTGTAGAAACTTTGGCTGAATGAACACAAATATCCATTTAAACTGTCTATTTCTGTGAGTTGCACAACATAGTACTGAAGTTTTTTGTCATCAGCCAGTTGCCTGCTTTGATGAAAAACAGTTAGTTGGGAACTGCTTACATCCTTCTGTATTTTCTTTGAGACTCTCTTGGAACAAGAAAGCACTGTCATGATTCTGAAGCAGAATACTTCTGTTTCTTGCCATTGAGGATGCTAAATTTTGAGTTGACTTCAACAGAAGACCCTTTCTTAGAACTGAACAATAAGGTATACTTAAGATCAAAAGGCTTAATACAGCACTTCCTTCTCTTGGGAGTAGGATACTGTGATTGGGATACATGCAAATTGACTTGTTTTGGAGTGTGCACTGGGATCTCTCATATCCAGTAATTTTTATTTGGCTTCAGCTATACCACACTTTTGAAGGTTACCGGCATAATTAGGAGTTCAATCATTTCAAGAGAATGACCCTTCAAGAACAGAACTGCTAGAAGGAGTAATTCTACTGCAAAGTTAACGCAGAATTTGTGGCCTGATGTAGGTAGGCTCCTGAACATCTGTCCAAAGCAGTCTCAAGAGTTGTCCTGTCAAAGACATCCTTTTAGAGTTGTCCTGAAGAAAATCAGGGAGATGCATTCCAAATTCAGTATCCTGTGTCTCCTTGGGATGCATCCTTTTCTTGAGACTAATTTCCTGTGTCAATTCAAAAGAGCATATATTTCTGATTCAGGAAGGTTCGAAATGGCATCCAGTGAGTAATTGCTGTTTGATGGCTTCCCCCAGTGATTTGAAAACTCTTTAAGAGTTGATGTGATGTTTGGGTGTGCCTTCATTTTCATTCAAAGTAAAGATTGAGTTCTTTGGAATTCCAGGGTGATATTTTTCTTTATTTTTAAAGATCTTTAAATGCTTCTACTGTTTTGCAGATCATAAGGGGAAGTCCTGAAAACTTTAAAAAATAACACTTTCCAATTACTGAAATGCAGTTGAGAAGAGCTTGGGACATGACAGTGGCAGATGATGGTTTGAACTAGTCACGTGCTTTCTGAGAGCTGAAGGCATTAATTTACTTTTTGCATTTTTATTTGTGCTTGAGGAGCATGTAACTTCAAGAGGAAGATAAAATATTATGAATTTCTATTGTTCTATTTCTTATGTGGAAGTGCCACTGGAAAAGTGTAGGACAAATAGACAGAAAATCAGTTTTAAGTTATGCATAGTGTTGAGAAGATACTGGAGAAAGTGGAAGTGCCCTTACATTTGGCTGCATGAGGGAGGGAGCTCTGGGTAAATCTTGTACCCACATTTTTATTTAAGGGAAGGAAGCCTTCTTTGTACCTAGCCAAGAGCTGTGAGTGACATCTTAATGTACTAGCCGTCATAAAGTAACTGCGTGCTTGCAAAGTAGAAATAACATCAAAGAAATGTTTTTCTGCACACATAGGACATTTTATCTCCAAACACCTCCTTAAAGCCTACAGTAACATGGGACTATGGCAGTTTTGGCAAGCAAGTGACAAGAGACCATAGGTACCACACGTCAGTGCTGAGATGTGTTTCTGTAGCACAAGCAGCTGGAAGCACTTCTTCGAAATGCATCATGGACTAATTACCTTTTCTGTCCCATCTCCCCCACCTCCCAGCAGTACTTGTATGTTCAGAGTTTTCAGAAAGAATAAACAGTGTGAAGGTTCTCCTCTAAATCCAGAATATGCAATATTTCTTCCCTGTCATCAACTAATAAAGGCTTAATGTTTGAGGATGTTTGAGGTGTCCCCATGCTGTCTGTGAACCCAACTCTTGCATTGTGGACCTTGAAATACCCTCTGCATTCCTGGATTTCTTCGGTTATTTCCTTTTAATAAATATTCAGTCTGTAGAAAATGACCACAAATATTTAGAATCATAGAATCGTTAGGCTAGAAAAGATGTCTATGGTCATCAAGTCCAACCATCAACCCAACACCACCATGCCCGCTAAACCATGTCCTGAAGTGCTACACCAATACAGTCTCTGAACACCTCCAGGGACGGTGACTCTACCCCTTCCCTGGGCAGCCTGTTCCAATGTTTGACCACTCTTTCAGTAAAGACATTTTTCCTAATGTCCAATCTAAACCTCCCCTGGAGCAACTTGAGGCCATTTCCCTTTGTCCTACCACTTGTTACTTGGGAGAAGAGACCAGCACCCACCTCACTACAGCCTCCTCTCAGGTAGTTGGAGAGAGCAATAAGGTCTCCCCTCAGCCTCCTGTTCTCTAGACTAAACCACCCCAGGTCCTTCAGCTGCTCCTTGTGGGACCTGTTCTCCAAATGTTTCACCAGCTTCACTGCCCTTCTCTGGGCACCTCAATGTCCTTCTTGTAGTGAGGGACCCAAAACTGCACACAGCATTCGAGGTGTGGCCTCACCAGGGCCGAGTACAGGGGGTCGATCACCTCCCTACTCCTGCTGGCCACACCATTGCTGATACAGGCCAGGATGCT